AGCGATGATTGCATTCATGTATTCATTCATTCAATGCATTCAATAACTGAAGCGAACGATTAAAATGCCATCAAAAGCATTGAGAAGAGACTGTGCTTTGAGGTCCAACACTAGTGTTGTATTCGCAGTGTTATGACTGCCTGTGATGTGTGCGCAACACTCGTACTCTACGTCTACACTGTATTACACTCTCACACGCATTGTGTGATGACATTCGACGCAACACTAGTTTTATGGCATTTGTCATGTTTTGTGGACTAAAAGTGCGAGCCGTTCGCAAACAACGTTACGCCAAACAATGGTGGGGTGGCGTCAATGTGTGAGCGTATGTGTGGGGGTCTGTAGTGAAGGGCAGTCCCCGACTGTGACCTCGCAGTACAGACACAGCCGAAGGCCAATCGCATAACCATTTAATGCAATGATATTTAGCACTAATTAATGATTTTAAATGTGTTTTTGTTTAACAAATACTGTATTGTTGTGTAAAACACATTGTATTTTATGCCTCAATACAAAAGGGTATTAAATATATGCAAATATGTGTCACGAGTTTTGCGTACGTTTTGCAAACATATGATTTGATTGGATGTCGTCTTATTAGGTCTTAAGGGATGTATTCATTGGTGACAATCCATTGTTTACCATCTGTTTCGGTGATTGTCGCTCAATGAATGCATTGTCACAGCCGTTGGATCCGATGATTACGTGACCGCTATATCATTGAATTAGTGATTGATATTCTTGTGTCAAACAAACAAAACAATGGCTAAACAGTTGATTGGATCCGCTCAAGACGTTTGCGCCGATTGTGGTGCCAATGGTTAGTATTGTGGCCATCGATGTCACCGATGATATAGTCTTTAGTAATTGTTTGTCTCATTCTTCAGAACCGAATTGGGTTTCACTGAACAGAGGAGTTCTCATATGCGATGACTGCTGTCTTATTCACCGAAGTTTAGGCCGTAATTATCAATACATACAACACTTGAATGACAACCAATTGATGGACTATTTATTAATTTCACTTTTAGGCCATATATCGCAAGTGAAGTCCATTGCGAAGAGTGTCTGGCGGTCGACACAAATCCAAATGATAGCTGAACTGCAGAGGAGTGGTTCCAACTCTATATGGGAGCACACATTACTGGATCCGTTGACTGGAAAGACGGCCATTCGTCGCAAACCGTCGGCCAAAGACCCGATTCATCCAAACAAATCGGAGTTTATTCGCTCGAAGTATCAAAACTTATCGTTCATTAATCGGTCCACAAATAAAGAGGAGTCCGAAACGGATATCAGCGAACAGTTGCACTCAAGTGTCCGAACGCCGAACCTTAAGACAAGTCTTCGTCTATTGGCCTCCGGAGCCGATCTGTTAGTCATTAAGTTTTTGTGTGAATAATCCGTATTTTATTGAAACGCCTTTTATCTTAATTTAACAGGAATTACATCCATAACGAGAAATACAACTCCCCGTTACATATGGCCGCTAAAGCGGGACAGATATCGCAGATAGAGTTGCTATTAGTTTACGGCGCGAATCCCTGTATAGTTGACGTGAAGGGAAGGACACCAATAGATTACGCCAAAGACGCCAATTATGTGGATATCGTCGAGCGTTTAGTCGAAAGTCAATACGAATTAAGCGATCGGTTGACGTATTTCGTGTGCGGACGAGTGCCGAACCACAAGAATGGTCAGCACTTTCTGGTGCCCGAAATGGTGGACTCAGGCGATCATCAAACGCACGATCAGTCGTCGAAACTGAAACTCCAGACCCTTTCCAATAGGATATTTGAAGAGCTGTCGCGCGATCTGTACGATGAGGTCGATCGGCGAGAAATGGACGCCATATTTAGCGCCAGTAATAGCACAGCGAATGCCGACCGACAAGTGGTTCCCTTTCTGCCGGTCAATCAGTACTTCTCGTCGACCAGAAATCAGGGCCGACAGAAGTTGGCCCGACTTAACAGCAAAGAGTTCGCGCAACTCATTATCGACGTGTTGTACGAAATGCGCCGAAGACTCCAGTGCTATGAGAACACCGCCGATGCGATGACAGGCAAAGCCAATAGCGTTAAATCGGTTCCCGCATTGACTCCGAGTCGAAAAGTGGTCCAAACATCAGACGGAAGCTCTGATTACGATTCAGAACCGCTCTATGATTCCGTTCCCTCCGAAGATGAGGACAAAGATTATAAGAATGTTTTGTTTAAATTGAACAAAAAGTCTTCGGCAGACAATCGAACAAATAGTAAGAATCCGCAGCGAAAAGAACCAAAGAATGCTTTGCCAGCAGAGGATTACACATCACTGANCTAAACGCTCGACGATATCCACATAATTGGCGTCTTTGGCGTAATCTATTGGTGTCCTTCCCTTCACGTCAACTATACAGGGATTCGCGCCGTAAACTAATAGCAACTCTATCTGCGATATCTGTCCGGCTTTGGCGGCCATATGTAACGGGGAGTTGTATTTCTCGTTATGGATGTAATTCCTGTTTATTTAAGATAAAAGGCGTTTCAATAAAATACAGATTATTCACACAAAAAACTTAATGACTAACAGATCGGCTCCGGAGGCCAATAGACGAAGACTTGTCTTAAGGTTCGGCGTTCGGACACTTGAGTGCAACTGTTCGCTGATATCTGTTTCCGACTCCTCTTTATTTGTGGACCGATTAATGAACGATAAGTTTTGATACTTCGAGCGAATGAACTCCGATTTGTTTGGATGAATCGGGTCTTTGGCCGACGGTTTGCGACGAATGGCGGTCTTTCCAGTCAACGGATCCAGTAATGTGTGCTCCCATATCGAGTTGGAACCACTCCTTTGCAGTTCAGCTATCATTTGGATTTGTGTCGACCGCCAGACACTCTTCGCGATGGACTTCACTTGCGATATATGGCCTAAAAGTTAAATCAATAAATAGTCCATCAATTGATTGTCATTAAAGTCTTCGTATGTATTGATAATTACGGCCTAAACTTCGGTGAATAAGACAGCAGTCATCGCATACGAGAACTCCTCTGTTCAGTGAAACCCAATTCGGTTCTGAAGAATGAGACAAACAATTACTAAACACTATATCATTGATATAATCGGTGACACCGATGGCCACAATACTAACCATTGGCACCACAATCGGCGCAAACGTCTTGAGCGGATCCAATCAACTGTTTAGCCATTGTTTGTTTGACACAAGAAATATCAATCACTTATTCAATGATATAGCGGTCACGTAATCATCGGATCCAACGGCTGTGACAATGCATTCATTGAGCGACAATCACCGAAACAGATGGTAAACAATGGATTGTCACCAATGAATACATCCCTTAAGACCT